GATGCAGGGCTTGATCCCAGGACCCTGGGATCATGACCTGAGCCGAAGGCAGACGCTTAACGACTGAGCCACCCAGGCGCCCCTAAAAAAAAGCTATAATTTTTAAAAAAGAGTTTTTGAATATAGTTTTTACTCAAAAACCTCTAATCTAGTCTTTTTTCTTTTTCTGAGTGCTTTATTAAATTGTATTCTTCCTTAAGTGTATGTGTGCTCCATTTATGTGTCTTATGTGTATAGATGGGCAGAGAAGTTAGATCGACTAACCAGCACAGCGACAAAAGATCCAGAAGGCTTTGTTGGGCACCCCGTAAATGCATTCAAATTAATGAAACGTCTGAACACTGAATGGAGTGAGTTGGAGAATCTGGTCCTTAAGGATATGTCAGATGGTAAGTCAGATGGTAAGACTAAGGAGCCAAAAAAAGTAAGACAATACTGCTGCCACGTTTGGAAATGCCAATACTAATAAATTCATTTCCCAGAACATCAAGTGTTCAGTGTTGTAATAACTAAATTGTTGCAGGGGTGTGTTTGGTTTGACTGGAGTTAGTCTAGATCCTGAATTCCTCGATTTAAAAAAAAACTGGAAACAAAAATAGCTTTAGTGTAAAAAAAGAAAAAAAGTAATTTCTGTTGTTGGTGACTAGCATTGGTACTTTTTGCTTTGAAATTTATAAAAGTGAATCAATTATTTGGCATATAGCTTCATTTCTGAGAGTGATCCTTTCCATTTTCTGAAATCCTTCAGATTTCAAAAATTTATGGATAAATCTCTACTCATCAATTGTTAATGTATTGAGAGTGGTACTATAAGGAAAAGTGTTAGCTGTGTTCTACGTAGTATTTTGAATCTTAGACTTCTTTTACTTAGACCATAAATTTAAAAACTAAGACTGCAAACAGTAACAATGAAGGTCTTTCTAATTAAAACAAAATTGTATTTGGAGAATTGAGGTGTTTTAGATATTTTAGTAACAGACACAGAAAACTAAGTCTGGAGTCTAAGAACTAGAGGGAATATGCTTAGATATATTTGTTCAGTGACTGAAGGTGGAATGAAAAAAGGCAAGAAAGAGGGAGAATTGAGTTAACTATGTAAATGAAAATACTCCAAGGCTGCTTATGAGTGTTTCTGAGCAGTAAACTATTATGCATAGGACAGGAAGCCTTGAGGAGAAAAATCAAGGCAAGCACGTGAAAACTTCACTGTGAGAGGGAAATACCAGTGACTATTTGCTCTCTTATACAGCACCATGAGAACATTTTTAAAGTCGTGTGTGTGTACACATTTATTTATTAACTTAATTTAAAAAAATTCTCGAGTAATGATCTTTATGACCTAAGTTCTTTTATAAGGTAAACCTTGAGACTTTGACATTTTAATCTGTGGTAGTCATCCCATAGTGCTATAATACATGTATTTTTCCTCTTTTTTATTGGATTGTATTTAAGCAACTTCTTCGATTTTATTTTGGGTCATAAAAAAATCTGTAAAACTTGTAAAATTCCTTGTGGACATTGTGACTAAGAGTTGGTCTTAAAACTAAAGAATATGCTTGATATGAACTTTAGCCCTCTCCTAGCTACTTGTTCATTTGTACATTTTCATTAACATAAAAATGCCTGGCCTTTTGCTGAGCAAAATACAGTTGATTATAAGTAAATAAGAGGGGAGGGAAGTTTCATACCTAACTTTTATTTGCAAATGATGAACCTTATATGATTAAAATTTTAAATAACTTTTTGTTTTTGTTTTTTTGGTTCCTTAAGGAGTATTTAGCATCTGTTCTTACGGGTTATATAATTATCAGTAATTAGTTTGTTAGTTTGGTTTTTGCTATATTTTATATAAAACTTTTTAAAATTAAGATTAGATTTTATATAGAGCAAATCTTGATCACTATATTCAGTATTTAACAGATCTAAATATATTTTAATAAATGAGCTCACTTGATAATCTTAAATATATAATTAATCTCTCTCTTTCCACCTCAAAGGATTCCATCAAACTTTATATATTTACATACTTATATAATGTGTGACACATGGAAGAAGAAAATAGAACTTTCTTTAAGCTCATATATTTTATTTACCATCTGTTATCTGAAAGTATAATTGGTTGCCAACGGATGTCATTTTCAAATCTGTAAATCCATTCATTTTTCAAGCTTAGTGGAGGCTATATTGTGTAACTAGAAACTCAGTTATCATGTTGATCTTCACCTAATATGATATGATTTATGCAATGACTTCAGATTACTTAAGTGACATTAGGATTTGGGAAGTTTGCATAAATTAGAGGCATTTCAAGTCTTAGTGTATTTAGTTTTTTTCTTGTAGAAATAAATGTAGAACTTTCATGGTATGGTAGAAAATTATAATAAAATCAATTTTGAAAAATCCTTATAAACACTGTATATTGCAAATTGGAAGTCTGTGAGGTTCTAGAGTCTTTCTTTTTCTTTCTTTCTTTTTTTTTCTTTTCTTTTTTTTAAATTTCAAGGCTTTATCTCTAACCTAACCATTCAGAGACAGTACTTCCCTAATGATGAAGATCAGGTTGGGGCAGCGAAAGCTCTGTTGCGTCTCCAGGACACCTACAATTTGGATACAGACACCATATCAAAGGGTAATCTCCCAGGTAAGAATTCTTGTAGTATATAAAACATTTATTACCTAGTTTTATTCAGTTCATTAGAACGTTAATCTAAAAGAAAACTTTTGTATTTTAGGACTTTTAACATTAGTTTATTTCATAGTCTTTGAGGACAAAACAACACTCTCTTTGCCTAGGACTTAATAGTTGTGGATAAGTTTATAGCTTGTTACTGTGAAAGCTTAATATTATAGGGACTTAATTTTAGGCATTTTTTTTTTAAGATTTTATTTATTTATTTGACAGATAGCACAAGTAGGCAGAGTGGCAGGCAGAGGGAGAGGGAGAAGCAGGCTCTCCGCCGAGCAGGGAGCCAGCCCAGGACCCCAGGATCATGACCTGAGCCGAAGGCAGCCGCTTAACCAACTGAGCCACCCAGGCGCCCCAATTTTAGGCATTTTTAACCTGGAAAAAGAAACAATCAGTTTTCCTCATTTTTTTTTTTTTTTTAGAACATCCAATGTTTGTATGTAAAGTTATAAAGGAATTGATAATCAAAGTTTATATGTTCAATAATTTAAAAACCAAGACATATTGGGTGTACACAGATTTTTAAAGTGTTCTGTAATATGGAACATCCTGCTTTATGACCTATTTTTGGCAAAACCTTTTATTTAGGTTACAGCAGTTTTCATGATAATTTGCTTTAAAAATCTTTTATTGTACAAAAAGTATATAACAAAATTTACCATCTTAATCACTTTTAAATGTGTGGTTTAGTGGCACCAAATACATTCACACTGTTATGCACCCATCACCAGCATCCATCCCTGTAACTCTTCTCACCTTGTAAAACTAAAACTGTACCCGTTAAACAGTAACTCCCCATCCCCTACTTTCCCCAGCCCCGTCATTTTGCTTTGTGTCTATGATTTTGACTATTCTAAGTACCTCATATAAGTGGAATCATACAGTATTTGTTATTTTGTGATGAGTTTATTTCACTTAGCATAATGCTCTCAGGGGTCATCCACATTGTAGAAAATGTCAGAATTTCCTTACTTTTTAAGGCTGAATAGTAATGTGTCATGTGTGTGTGTGTGTGTGTGTGTGTATATAGCTTATCCTTTCATCCATCAACATTTTGCTTATCCTTTCATCCATCAACAGGACACTTGAGTTGCTTCCTTAGCTAGTGTGAACAGTGCTGTGTGAACAGGGTTGTGCAAATATCTCTTCAAGACCCTGCCTCCCATTCTTTAGGTATATACACAGAAGTGTAATTGCTGAATCATATGGTAATTCTATTTTTAGATTTTTGGGGAACTGCCGTATTATTTTCCATAGTAGATACACTATTTTACATTCCCACCAACAGTGCAGAAGGGTTCCAAATTCTCCACCTCTTCTCCAATACTTGTTATTGTCTCCTTTTTTTTTTTAAAGATTTATTTATTTATTTGCGAGGGGGAGAGAGTGAGAGAGCACAAGAAGGGGGAGGGTCAGAGGGAGAAGCAGACTCCCCACTGAGCAGGGGGCGTGATGTGGGACTCGATCCTGGGGCTCTGGGATCATGACCTGAGCCAAAGGTAGTCGCTTAACCAGTTGAGCTACCCAGGGGCGCCTGGGTGGCTCAGTCGTTGGGCGTCTGCCTTCGGCTCAGGTCATGATCCCAGGGTCCTGGGATCGAGTCTCACATCGGGCTCCCTGCTCGGCGGGAAGCCTGCTTCTCCCCCTCCCCCTGCTTGTGTTCCTGCTCTCTCTGTCTCTCTCTCTCTGTCAAATAAATAAATAAAATCTTGAAAAAAAAAAAAAGAAAACAACCAGTTGAGCTACCCAGGCGCCCTGTCTCCTTTTTTGATAGTAGCCATCCTAATGGGTGTGGGGTGGTATCTCATTGTAGCTTTGCATTTCCCTAAGTATCTGTGATGTTGAGCATCTTTTCATGTGCTTAGCTGCTATCTGTATTTCGTTTTTGGAGAAATGTTTATTGAAGTCTTTTGTCCACTTTTTAATTAGTTTTTTTTTGTTGTTTTAGGAGTTGTCTACATATGCTGGATATTAATCCCTTATGAGATACATGATTTGCAAATATTTTCTCCCATTCTGTGGGTTGCCTTTTTACTCTGTTGATAATGTCTTTTGATGCACGAAATTTTAAATTTTTCATGAGGTCCAATTTAGTTTTTCTTTTTTGCCTGTGCATTTAGGGTCAAATACAATAAATTGTTGCCTCATCCAACGTCGTGAAGCTTTTCTCCTATGTTTTCTTCCTATGAGTTTTGTTGTTTCAGGTCCTTTATCCATTTTGAGATAACTTTTACAGATAGTGTTAGGTTAAGGGTCCAACTTCGTTTTTTTTTTTGCATGTGGATATCCAGTTTTTCCAGCACCATTTGTTGAAAAGACTGTTGTCTCCCCATTGATTAGTCTTTGCACCCTTGTCAAAAAGTATGACCATATATGTGAGGGTTTATTTCTGGGCCCTTTATTCTATTCCATTGATCTTTATGTCATATTAATACTACACTGTCCTGATGACTGTAGCTTTTTTTTTTTTTAAGATTTTATTTATTAGAGAGCATGAGCAGGGGGGAGGGGCAGAGGGAGAGGCAGACTCTCTGCTGAGTAGAAAGGCGGAAGCAGGACTTCATACCAGGACCCTGAGAGCATGACTGAGCCAAAGGCAGAGGAAGGCAGACACTTAATGGGCTGAGCCACCCAGGCGCCCCTGATGACTGTAGCTTTGTAGTAAGTTTTGAAATCTAGAAGTTTGAGTTCTCCAGTTTTATTCTTTTTCAAGATTGTTTTGACTATCCCTTGAGATTACATATGAATTTTAGGATAGGTTTTTCTATTTCTGCAAAGAATGACATTGGGATTTTGATAGGGATTGTATTGAATCTGTAGATCAGTTTGGGTAGTATTGCCATTTTAATAGTATTAAGTTTTCCAATCCATGAACATGGGATGTGTTTCCATTTTTTTTATGTCTTTTTTTATTTCAACAGTGTTTTGTGGTTTTCATTGTTTAAGTCTTTCACCTCCTTGGTTAAGTTAATTCCTAAGTATTTCATTCTTAGAATTGTTTTAGTGAGGATGCCTGGGTGGCTTAGTCAGTTAAAATGTCTGCCTTAGGCTTAGGTCACGATCCCAGCGTCCTGGGATCAAGCCCCAGATCAGGCTCCCTGCTCAGTGGGGAGTCAGCTTCTCCTTCTGCCCCTCCCCTCCTGTTCTCTCTCTGTCTCTCTTTCTCTCAAATAAGTAAATAAAATCTTCAAAAAAAAATTGTTTTAGTAATTTTCAGATTATTCATTGTTAGTATATAACGATGCAACTGAGTTTTGTGTGTTGACTGTCCGCTGCTACTTTGCTGAATTTATTAGCTATAACAGTTTGTGTGTGTGTGTGTGTGTGTGTGTGTGTGTAGTCTTTAGGGCTTTCTGCATAGAAGATAATATAATCTGCAAAGAGAGATCGTTTTACTTTTTTTCCAATTTGGCTGCCTTATATTACTTTTTCTTGCCTAATTGCTCTGGCTAGAGCTTCCATACTAAGTTGAGTAGAAGTAGTGAAAGTGGGCATCCTTGTTTTTGTTCTTGATCTTAAAGTCTTTCACCATTGCATATATTTGCTGTAGATTTTTCAAGTATATCTTTTTTATGTTTAGCTAGTTTCTTTTTACTCCTAGTTTGTTCAGTGTTTTTTATTGTGAAAAAATGTTGAATTTTGTCACATTTTCTGCATCAGTTGAGATGATCATGTGTTTTTTTCCCTTTATTCTGTTAATGTGGTGTATTACATTGATCAGTTTTCATATGTTGAGACATCCTTGCTTTCCAGGAATAAATTCCACTTGGTTATGGCGTATAATCCTTTTAATATGCTGCTGAATTCTGTTTGCCAGTACTTGAGGATTTTTTGTCAATATTTGTAAGGGATATTGGTCTGTAGTTTTCTTGTAGAGTCTTTGGTTTTGGTGTAAGGGTAATGCTGGCCTCGTAGAATGAAATAGGAAGCATTCCCTCCTCTACAGGTTTTTGTAAAAGTTTGAGAAGGATTGGTATTAGTTCTTTAAATGTTTGGTAGAATTCTCCAGTGAAGCCATCAGGTCCAGGGCTTTTCTTTGTCAGGAGACTTGATTACCGAATTAGTCTCCTTACTAGTTATAGGTCTATTCCAATTTTCTGTTTCTTTCTTAGTCTCGTTAGGCTTTTTGTTCCTAGGAATTTGCCCATTTCATCTAGGTTATCCAATTTGTTGGTGTACATTTTTCATACTACTCTCTTGTAATCCTTTGTATTTTTGTAGAATCAGTAGTAATATCCCTTCTTTCATTTTTGATTTTAGTAATTTGAATCTTCTCTTTTTTTCTTAGTCCATGTAGCTAAAGGATTATCAGTTTTCTTGATCTTTTCTAAGGACCAACTTTTGGGTTCATAAATTCTATTTTTTTTATATTCTACTTAATTTACTTCTAATATTTCCTTTTTTCTGCTAGCTTTGGGTTTAGCGTTTTTCTAGTTTCTAAAGTTGTAAAGTTAGGTTGTTGACTTGAGATCCTTATAGCTTTTTTTTTTTTTTTTAAGATTTTATTTATTTATTTGACAGAGAGAGACACAGCGAGAGAGGGAACACAAGCAGGGGGAGTGGGAGAGGGAGAAGGAGGCTCCCCACTGAGCAGGGAGCCCGATGCGGGGCCCGATCCCAGGACCCCAGGATCATGACCTGAGCTGAAGGCAGATGCTTAACGACTGAGCCACCCAGGCGCCCCTCCTTATAGCTTTTTAATGTAAGCGTTTACATTACATCCCTTTCCACTGCTTTCACTGTGTCCTATAAGTTTTGGTATTTTGTGTGTTTGTTTTCATTTGTTATAAAATATTTTCTAATGTTCTCTGTGATTTCTTTTTTGTTCCATTGGTTGTTTAAGAGTGTGTTGTTTCATTTCCACAAATTTTAAAATTTGCTAGTTTTACTTGTGTTACTGATGCCTGACTTCACGCAATATTTTACTTCTGCTATTTCTCACTTTTTCTATGAGT